TAGTTTATTTGCCATGCCATAAAGAGAATTAATTCTACTGCCCTGTTTCAGCACATTCAAGGGCAGGATGAGGTCTCCACATAGGGTCTTCCCCCATACTCTTGGAATGCCAAATTTCAGACCCAAAGGCTACAAAAGAAATGCAATTGTATGTAAAATTAAACATGCAGAGTTCCAGTTGTAAAAGGAAGGATGGTGCAACCCGCTTAACCCAGTAGTTGGGCCAAGTGCATTAAACTGTACACAGCTGAACTTTAAGATAAGGATTTCTTATTTGTTTGGAGCTTTAGAACAAACTTCTATTCTTGAGAGACAAGTATGTGCATATTCTCCCCACAGTTCAGAAGACAGAAGCAACAACTCCATCAAAACAGCTTTGAGCAGTACAACACTACATCTGAAGCAGTTTGGCTGGGATACTTGTTAAAACATTTTTTGTGGCAACATATCTTCTAAAAAAAAAAACAAGCACAGGGCATATTCACTTTTACTCTTCTCCTCATACAAGTCCCAATGCTTTGTGCAGGTGCTCAGGTCATGACACTTTGTTATGAATGACAGTGGGCAGACTAATGAAGCTCTTTGCAACTGTGTCAGAACTGCAACACACACGAGCATTGAAGTGCAGAGCTAAGGAGAAAGATTTAAGGGTAAACAGAAAGTGATGGTTTCTCCAGGCCCAAAAGCAGCTGGACAAGACATCAGCTACAAATAGGCACAGAAAAGCTACTGGTCCTTAGTATGGTCACACAAGGGCATACATCGATCAAAAAAACACCACTAGTTTGATCATCACCAGGATCACAAGAAGAAAATCTGATGGCAAAAAGAATCTTTAACTCCTAGTATTTTTAATTTATCCTACTTCTTCCTCAAACCTTGAAACATTTAAATGATTCCTAATGTTTATCTGATTTGTCTTTTAGGAGTCCAGAGTAATATAAACAGATCTTGGACTTTTGCAAATAGAGAGAGAAAAATTCAGAAATTGAAACAATATACAATTCCATTGCATTCCTTTTAAATGATGCACAAAACAAGTGCTTTAAAAACAGGGAAACAGAGTTTGGACTCCGCCAATTATACAATTGCAATATCAACAACTATTGCTAGCAAAAGGTAAAAATACAAAAAAAATGGATGGTTAGCCTGCACTAGATGTGGTGCTCAGACAATGTTAGCCACATGCAATAGACATGTGCACACATGCATGTTTGTATCTGTAAACAGAAAAGTACCCAGGACAACTTGTGCTTTCCTGTGTGGACTCTACTGCCAGGACAAAGTAAAGCAACACCAAGATTCTTAGGGAGACAGAAACTGCATCTCATTAGATTAGATGAGACTTTGGTGTTATACACCAGTGTGAACCACCATGGAGATGGACATAGAGAATAAGATATCACATGGAAATCATTCTCCTGAGTGTGACCCAGTCCAAGGAGCTAAATGTGAACTGGTGTTTGACAACATCTCCTAAGTTAGTGACACTGGACTGTACCTGAAGCAGCTGGAGAACAGTGTTCATGCTCTTGTCAAATAAGCCTTATAGGTTTGCATGAAGAGGGATAGGATGAAGCATCACACACATTAGCACAGCTAAACCCACATTAATACAACTAAACCCAACTACTCAGTCCCAAACTCCTGAACATTCAGTTTTAGGAATACTTGGCTCCAGCTGTATGTATGGGTGTTCAGACCTGACACTAAGCTCTGGCACTTTAACAAGATCCTAGATCTGCCTACTATGTAGGTTTTTCATCTTTACACCCATATAAAAAAACAGCAGCAGAAATGCAACAGACACTTGTTTCAATAATTAGGATGACACCTCAGTTTCTTCGGTAACAAGTCCTGCAGAGGGTCATAGCAATATTTTGTCACTAGAAAACAGTACATATGAGGGATCAGCTCCATATGGTAACTGCTGCAAATGCCCAAAGTTCAACCACCTACCTCTTCTGACCCAAGGGAGAGCCACTTGTGAGTCCATGCCCACAAGGTGAAGAAAGGGTCCATACAAAGATATTACAACGAAAGTTTCATAACCTTCAGGCACATCACAGTGGAGTCTCAAGGCTCACTATGTGGTTTGTAAGCACACAAACAGAATTCAACGACATTTGGATGCCAAGAGGCCCCTGACGATGGTGTAGCTGAAATTGCCAAGGAACACACCTTTCCTCAGTTGAACAAGCAGGAGACAAGGGAAGAGCCACCCATGTCCAGTCTGGACAAAGCAGCAAAATTCACACTACACAAAAATAAGTGAGACAGCAGCTTGTTATACCTTATACCCTGGTGCCAGCAGTGTTTTCAGAAAGGATTTTCAGCTGACTGAAAGGGATATCCTCAACGTCAGCTAACCAGTGCTCCCAAGCATAAAAGAACATCCACTCAAAACAAGCTAAAGGGACTTAGGTTGCTCAAACACTTTTGCCAGAACAAGGAAATTGTTAGCAAATAGCTCAAAGGTAAATGGACATAAAGTCTCCTTGCAAGTTCTTCATTAATGTTTCTTCTAAGACCTTTTTTCCCTGAAGCCTCTTTTAGTCACAGATTTTATTTAAATCCCTCACGTGCTTTCCTAGATCTCCCTCCATGTTTACCTTTAGCATTTCAAATTGTTTCCTTTTCTCCTTCAAAATACAGCCAGACTTTTCCCCCCCCCCTTTCTACTTCTGTATGACCCAATAACCTATTTAATTAGTGTCTGAAAAAATTGTTCTACTAGAGGAAAAAAAAAAGAGGAGAGTAAAACTCAATTACAGAAAATTAATTCACACAAGGTTTAAAAGTCTTCAAAATGGAAGTTTTGTTTTCTGAACAACTGCATCCATTAAAAGAATAGACTCATAATTTTCCTTGTTTTCTCTCCCCAGAGAGGGACAGGCACTCCAAGGAATCTGAGGGGCTAACTTGCCTGAAGTCCACAGAACCACCTTCTCTTTTCCAAATACGGTCACTTGTAAGTACAAAAAGGTGAGATAGTTTCAATTATTCATGTTCAGTTCTTCAAATTGTTAATTTGTTTTAGAAGCCCATCGTATCAGGTTCAGGGGCTGTATTGGTACCACCCCCAACCTCCACAAAAGCTGTCAGAGTTTATCTCTTTTTGCATGTTAGCTTGTCACACATCTAGACTATATGGAATGAAAGCTTTTTCAGAAGACTGAGCATGAACAGAAGCAAGGGAGTTCAGACAGTGTGGTCCTTCCAGATGCAAAGTTTCTACAGTTTTGCACAACAACACTTGTTTCTTGATGCCTTTTACCAGATGTTGCCACTATTCTATGTCCAGAACCCTGGAAATTGCCAGAGATCTTAGCAGGCCAGAAAAGGTGCATCTGGGGGGGGATAAAGGTGCACTAGCAACAGGGGGACAGACAAGAGTAATCACCAAATTCAGCGTTGTTTAGGTGCATATTTAAAGCAAAAGCAAAAAGAATCACAACAGGGGGAAAAGGTGGAAAAGAAATGAAAATAAACCAAGTGATGAACAGAACTGTGGGCTTACAGTATGCATCTCAAGAATAGCAAAGTAGTTTGTAAATCTGAAGTAAAAAGAAAGGAAAAGCCACACTTTTCATTACCACTACAGAAAGTTATATACTGTTAACAAACCACATCCTTTCTCTTAAGAAAAGAAGAAATAAATTGAGGCAATCCATTATCAGAGATAGCATTTTATATAATACAATGAAGCAGAAACCTGCAGTTTAGTTTAGTCTGCCAATCTAATTGAAGTGCAGAAGGACTGGGAGAGAATTTGTCATAAATAGAGGCTCTACTATTAACAATAAAATAACTAAGTATAAACATATTTCCATTGTACTCTTCATTGAAGCACTTTTTTCTGATAAAGCCACTATTATACTCAATATAGTTCATAATACCAAAGTTTTTCATTCCCAGAAACAATGCTATGAGTGCGGAATTTTTCCTGTACCTTGCAGAGACTTTTTCTTGGCTTCTTCCTCTGGGAAAAATATTTAGGCAACAACTACCCTTTAGTGCAATGTAACTTGAGTTATTTGATAAAGTTCAGTGTGCTATTTTTTTAATTCATGAATAGTCTCAGACTTAGCTCTCTAGATGTCACTGCAGGGCAAAGAAGGGGACAAAGTGAGCCACAGCAGAGTTTGTAAAGCTCTCTCATCCACTTGTTAGAGTTGCTCTGAAAATTCACCTTCCATTGAGCTGCTAACAACCATCACCCCCAGAAACAGGGAAGAGATGAAAATCACCTTCTCTGTGTAATGAGGTAGTGCTTTGCTATTCAAGAAAAGAATCTCAATTCCAGAAAGACTCTGGAGCTTTCTGATATAAAAAATTATCTTCTGCTCCATAGCAAAAGACCTCATTATCATTACTAATCAGCACTGAATTTGAGTAAGATTCTATTGAACTTTTTCACATATTTATTAGAGAGCAAAGTGGCAAGTAAATCACAGCTTTCTGGCGATTAATCCATGTAATTTAAATCCTATATATTTCGCAGTACTGTATTCAATAGGGCTTGTACACTTCTAAAATTGCTACATTTGAACAAACATTTTAGCTGCATATAGATTCCCACTTTATGACAAGAGATCATTTCTTTCCATATCAACAAGAATAAACTTGCAGACTAGCATTATTAATTGAAAATTTCATTAATTTTTAAATTCTATTTTATACGAGATTTCTTTCTGTAATAATTCAAATTCTCTATAAAATAGGTTCTACCACTTCTCTAAGAAACACTATTTTCTGGTTTCACTGAGCATTGCACTAAACGAGCAGTGACCGCCTGCTCCCGACTGCAGCCACATGAAGCTTTTCAGTGTGCAAGCAGGAAGACAAACATTTGGAACAGAACACAGCACCAAAACACTATTCCCAGATTTTTCAGGTAATTTGGCAAAAGATGCAGCAATCTGCTCAGTTTTGAACAGCAGCATCGGACAGATTAGTATCACCATCCACTAACCATCCAAAATCAGAGCTTCCCTTACCCCAAATGGTGGATATGAAGCAGCAGCAGCAGCAGATGCAACACTCACTGCGGGAGGTGGTATTCCTGAAGAAGAAGGTGGGAACAGACCCAAGGCATTCAGATTTAATCCAGGAATTAAATGTGCTTGAAGCTGCAATGGCAGAAGAGTTATTTAAGATTTACAGTCCTGGTTATTAACTTAAATAAAATCTGAGTTGACATAGTCTATCAACCTTTTGGGATGTTATTTAAAAGAAAATTCATCCCCATTACTCCAAGAACTCTGCTTCAAACCTATTTCCCAGACACATGCACAGACCAATAACATTAAAAACATGTAGTAGGAAAGACATCTGGCAATCACTTGCTACAATTTAGTAAGTGAAATATATTTCAAACTCTATGGCAAGACACCCAGATAATAGTACAATTTACCTTCAGAGTGAACAAAATTATCAGAAAAATAATAATTTTGGCCTTATACTAAAAAGACAGTCCTGTGGAAACAGAAGGATCATGCACAAACCCTGACTTTTCATACTCTGGGGACATAGATACATGACACTATAATCCCATCCTCCTTCCCCTATCCTTTCCCTCACACTCCTTGCAAAAGATGAAGTGAGATACCTCCAGCATTTGCTGGGAAAGGATCAGCTGTAAAGTTGCACGCCTCTTGCTTGACCACAGCTGAGAATAGTGGCAGCATCATACAGTAAGGAAAATTCTGTTGTCAGTGATACAAAACTTTTCAGTACCCTTTTCCAGATAATTGCCCAGTAACATGAATATACTTTAGAAATACCTCAGACAGATGCCATCTCAAACCATTAAGATAAGTCACCAAAAATCCCAAAACTTCACCAACTCTAAAACTACCCTAATCACTACAAACTAAACTTTAAATCCATACAGTAACAAAGGCAGGTTTTGGCTTTCCACATGTTTGCCAAACAGCAACACAGTCTCTAGCTCACCCCATGTTATATGAACACAGTTTCTAGCTCACCCTGCTTGTTATGTGAAACAAAAATGCACCACAATAAATTACTTCATGTCCTCATGTGTAGTTTATGTCCTGCAATTTGCTTAGCATGGGAGGCAGGGGGGAAAAGCGGGAAGAATATTCTCCCTAGTCAGTAGGAAAACCATGAACACACATTTCTAGAAAATCAGGACTACTGTAAACTGAAAAATATTTTCAATCTAATTCTAGACCATAAGATTTAGATACACATACACAAAAAGCTCTTCATAACTTATCATAAGTCTCAATCATTTCTCAATATGCATTAGTAATACTTTGGTAAACTAATGAGATATGTTGTTTTCATTACATAAGATCCAATCATCTTCAAATAGCTAAATGCCTTTATCATCTATATCAAGAAAAAACTTTTCATAAAGCCTTCTTAAATTAAATAATTGAAAACAGGAGAGATCCTTCTTCCATACATATGAAGAAACTGTGAATCACTACTTCATAAAACATGCAAGGTAGAGCACACAAACCACAACACCACAAACACACCTTCCTTCACGTTTTTGCAACAAAAAAAAAAAAGTGAAATGGTCATTCATTTCCTCAATCTGAATCAAGTTATCAGTTCCCCCACTCAAAACCAACCAGAAAAGGCCTTCATTAAAATAACATACATGTATAAATAAATAAATAAACACGTGCCCACACTCCCACAAATTAATAAAAGAGGCAACAGAGGCTGCAACAGGAAAATTCTGATATTAGGAAAAAAAATTCACCATGAGAATAGTGAGACAGGGCACAGATTGCCCAGAGACACTGTGGGCTTTCTATCCGTGGAGATGTTCAAGAGGAGACAAATCCCTACACAACCTAGTTTAACTTGGAAGTGGGGCCTATATTGAATAAACCCCCTGCTGGGCCAAGTGACCTCCAGGAGTCCCTCACACCTAAATCTTTCTATGGTTCTAGTTTCAGAAAGAGACCACACCATAAGAAAACTCACATTCATAGCAGCAATGTCATTTTCATAGGACTCCCTGATTTTCTTCATAATTTCTTCCTCGGCCTTGGCACAAGTCTCAATACTGCCTTTAACTGTAATGGTCCTTTCCGGATTATAGAGTGTCAAGTCCTGCAATCTGCAAAGGAAACAGAAGCACAGTTAATTAGCAAACAAAAAGAGGGTAATCCACGTTTATCATTCAAGAGAAATGACACCCGAGCGTGTCAAGTTTGCTCTCCAAAGAACCATAGAATCAATTCATAACAGGGCTCAAACAGAGAATCTGGAGAAACTCTGTCCTCCTAGGAAACACAGCAAACTACCACAGTGAGGTTTGGCATGAGATGGTTGAGACATGCTTAGGTGCTATGCAAAATGGAGACCATCACACTGTGTAGGAATGCAAGCAACATTCTGCTTCACGCTCCACATCAGCCCTACCAACAGAGAGGGCTTCAGACACTTTAGACACCCCATGAACACAGACCATAAGAAACTTTCTTTCTGTGAGAACTATAGTGTATTCCTTAAGGATGGAGGGGGGAAAATGCCCAACCCTCAGTGAAACTGCAGGAGAGCCTCCAAATACTCAAAATGGGAAAAAGGAAAGCTGTGTGCAAGTCATTTGCTGCAAAACGCTAGTAACTCCCCTGGGAAAACAAAAGGGTGACAACATTAAGCGAGTGCTTTATTTGGTAACAAATGCTAACTTCCTATGGTAAAATGGAATAAACAAACTGGGAAGCCATGGCATATCCATACACTGAGAAACGGAAAAAGGGGTGAAGACAAAAAGTTCAGAGCAAGATGCAGGAGTGAGGAAGCCCGTGGCAGAAAGTAGAGAGGAAGCAGAATGCAAGGCTTTGCTTTCTTGCACAACAGGTAGCATAGCAACCTGCACATCTCAACTGAACAGTGGCAAGCACAAAATGCATCCACAAAACAGGCCTTAAGTTTCCAGCGCAAAAGCCTCAAGTTACTGTCTCAGGAAGGAAAGTGATGGAAAATACCCCAAAGAAGAACGGAAATGCTTTCCCAAACCATCTGCCTTACTTTACATTTATAGACAAGCTTACAAAATAGCCTAAATGAAGAGATCAGGAGAAAGACTAATTGGATAGAGCAAAATCAGTGGGCAAATATGCTCTCTTTACGTATCGATTATATCAGGCGACTTCATGGGGCTATTTCAGGCATAGCATGACAAATACAATCTTGAGACCAAGATTTTAGTGCAAATAAACCATTAACTTACTAAATTAAAAAAATACTGTGTTTACAGACAATATGTTATTTGTGTCACCATCAATAAAGACAAGTTGATTTCACAGAATGAAGACTGTTATCCCAGTTACCCTGTACACATTTTTTTCCTTTAAGCAATAGCATTAACAGTCTGAGTACTGTTTGCAAACAGAATATTTATGCCAGCCCAATTAAGAGAGCATGCTGGCCTTACATAATCTATTATTGAAGCACACATTTCATTTGTTTCTCTTCCTTACACTAGTTCCATAAACACTTACACACCTTTAAGGAGGGCCTCAGGTTCTTTCACCCAAATTTGATTTCCTCTTTTTGAAGAGCCACATTCACTCCAAACTTCCTTGTCCTCATTTGAGCTATTTTCTGCTGTACTTTTTTTGTCTCCTGCATGTATTCACACCCCTTCATCCATCTTCATGTGTCTTCCAAACTTTTTCCCCTCCCTACAGCCTATAAGCCTTATTCTCACCCTTTCTGGATAAAGCCAAACCCAAGATGCCCTCAAATGCTTGGAAGTTCATGCCAGAGCATTCATTATTCAGAACAGGAGGTTCTCTGTGGATATTACTCTGGGGTAAAACTACTATTGACTGCCAAGCTTCTACAGAGATGTTAATCTAAACAGTGATTTGCAGATTTCCAGTGAAGGTGAAAACTCTTGTCTAATCTCAGCTAAATTTGAACAGGTCTCACAGTTACCTTCACAGACTCATGGACCAAAAGCTATTACTTTGAAGCAGACTAACCAATGTACCACAGTTTGGCTGCTAGCGGTCAAGAGGGACAGAACTGCTACTAAAAATACGCTTTCCAGTATTCATTTGCTTTATTTCCTTCCCTCTAGTCCAAAAATTTAATACATAGCTATAACTAAAACATCACTAATTTCACTCATTTTTGCACAAAGCTCAGAACTGATCCAGACTTACAGTTTCAAACACTCATCATTACATATGTTAAAAACAACCAACACTTAAAATATAGTCTGACACAGGCTCCACATAGCCTATGTTATTTTTAGGCTTGCTCTTGACTGAGTTTGCAGTGAAGACTCACTGTTTACATAAAATTTAACTGAGTTTAAGTAACAGTTTAATCCACATGATGGAAAGGCCTCTGAAGGGCTGTTATCTCAGCCTTCAACACACATAATATTTTTCTAAGAACTCTGTACCTGAATGTACTGCAGCAGCATTGCTGCTATTTGAGACATCTCACCAAAACCTTAGGCCACTGAAAACTTACGGAGATATCGTGATTTTAGTATCTGTGTCCTGTTCAATTTTCTTCAGGTTTCTTCCCTCTTTGCCAATAAGTCGGCCAACGAAGTTATTGTGTGCCAATATCTTCAGGGGAATTTCTTCTGTACTGTAATGGAAGTTATAACCAGTGAGACTTTAGGAGACCAGAGCATAAGTTTGTACGTGTGTTACGGATTAATTTTATTTTCATAAAAACATCCACAACTCCCATTCACTAACACATGTTTACACTAGATGCAGAACAAGTCCAAGTGCAGTGGACTTCTCAGAACTATCACCTAGAGCTTCATTGTAACATACCTTGAGCTAAAGCTCAGATTGAGGTAGCAAGAGCTATTGGGAAGGAGGAGGTATATCTTAAAGCTTTTAGCGAGGGCTCACAATTTGTTAAGCTCACTCTGACTAAAAGCTATCAGTTGCTCAAGAAACTTCTGTATTTGCTCCCATTCACCTCAAAATCACAGGCAGACAATGACTGAAACAGCAGATGTGTGCTGGGGCTAATTAAGCAACAAGACTGTCCTGAAAGGTAAAACGTCTTAATTCCTTTACATACTTAGAAATGGATAACGGCAATGAAGATTCACTTGTTAACAGTTTTTAAAGACTACATCTTTAAATGAAGTCAACAAGAATTCAGAATTTTTAATGCTTCGACAATGAATGCCTTTTACTCACAATTTAGTATCTTGAGCTTCCTTTTGCATGATCTCCATAATAATTTTACAAGCCGTTGAGCAGCCTTCAGGAGTTGAGTGGATGGTAATTGGTTTCTCAGCAGCACCTGCATTCTCTTTACGATGAATATCAATTCTTGAAAGAAAGAAAAACGCTAACTGTAACCATGTACTCTATGGTAAGCCTTGTGTATTTTCAACTCTCATAAAACTAATTTATTTTGAGCTAACAGTGACTACACTTAAGTGATTTAATATTGAAACATTTACAACTACTTAAACATATCCTAAATACTAATTTTTATGTGTTATAAAGAGTATCTCCTATCCTGATTTTACCGGTTAAACCCCATCTTTGTAGATACTGGGATCTCCTTTCCTCAGTAGGGTCCCATCCAGATACACAAGGGAGTTATTAGAAAATCTGTAGTAAACCACTGAAGACATCTCATCAAGCTTTCCCAATTAGCCCCATTGCTTCACTAAGAATGACTGTGCAGCTACAGGACAGTCAGGCTTTGCCCCACTTTGTCTTTAATTAGCTCAGCAGCAGAGTTTCCCAGCACTCCCCTGCTAGCAAGTAGCATCACGGTACTCACATCCATCCTCAAGATTAGTTTCTTATACTTTTTCATCCTGGATTTTGTCCTGACATTACCTTTCCCCTAGCCCCAGCCTCTATTACCCTAAAATCACTAGCCTTGGTCTACATCATGGTTTATGTAGCTCTAGGAATTTAACAAAAATTAATTTTGACCTGCATAAAGACAATGCCTAGGATATTACTGGTCCTCTGCCAATAACTGCAGGTCACATGCTCTTTCCATCTCTGCTTTTTCCTTTTGCCCCTCTTCCCCAAATCATAGCTGTTTCCAAACTGAAACAACAATGCTGCTTTTCAATAAGGCCCTTCATTTTTGCAGTTCTTTCCAGTACTGAAAATTCATTTAGTTTCACAATGAAGCACTTTCCAAGAAGCCCATGACAATCCTTGGTAGAAGTGGAAGTATATGAAATTTCTTTTTTTATCCCTAAATCAATGAAAACATCTTTCTTGAAGTTGCATATCTGTGAAGTTAACAACCTGCAATTATTTCTGCTCTATCCACCCTTCTTTTAAGATATAAAAGTTTTCCTTATGCCAATTTTCCAGGATTTTTAGAGTTGGAGAATTAGATGCTTTAGATATCACCCGAAAAACTGGTTACCCATAGGCAATCTACAGCCGAGTCTTGTCAGGACACCACAAATCTCTTAAACCTGTGCAGTTAAACACACTAAATAGTCTCCTGGGTTACAAAATGCTAATGAGAATTCGGAAGGAGCATCATGATAATCCCAGGTTTGGAGGGTGGGGGAAAGCCTGTTTGTTGGGGGTTGGGGTGTAATTAGAGAGGACTCGTTTATCCTCATTAACTACTCTCAAAACTGAAGCCGCCACCCCCTCTCATACCCCTCACACACAGTTTATTTCCACATCCTGCCTGCTGCAACTACAGAACTGGGGGCTCCTACCAGTGTACTGCTGAAGACAGCATTTTAACTCTGCTTTTAGAGGTATCCTGGAAAAGTTCTCGGAATAGGAACCCCACCTCCCTCTTCATCTGCACTGAGCTCTTCCTTGTGGGTAGGGATTTAACACACATTGGAAACAATCTCCTCCAGCGTCTCTAGACCCCAGTTCTCTAAGCTTCTTAAGTCACTTAGCAGCTTGCTTTTTGCCTCCCGTGCATTTCCTTAATCTGCGTCTTGGTGTGGTCTGCAACTTGATAGCAACAAATGTGTTCTCCAGAAATACAGGGGGATGAGGTGTAAGGAGCAGCGAGGGTAGATAAGAAGGGGTTTCGTTCATTTTTATTTCCCCCCCACACCTTGAATTGGCAACATTTACAAATCTTAAGAATGTCATAAATCAAACTAAAGCTAGAATAAACACCTGAAGACTTGGATATGTCAGCACACTGACTGTATGTCCCACAGACCAACATAGAACAGCTCTTTCAGTTTCACTTTTTGTGCCAGAACCATAACAGTACATCTGTAAGCAAAACTCTCCAGCAGAGTACTATCCTGCTAGCACTGCCTAGTTTCCCTCTTCTAAGAAGGGAGAAACAAGTCAGTATTTGAACATACACCAAGGACAGAATTTAGTCCTTAAGTAAATCTTGCAAAAGACTTCCTGTTCACCGTTACCTTCATTTGCTCTCTGACCACACAGGTTAGCTGTGAAGTTTTACAAATTCCCCTCTACATGAGCAATGAGAACACAATATGAAAGCTATTAATTACAGTTTTGTAAAATAACTTACTTGGACTGTGTCTGCTTTGTAATGTTTCTGATTGTTGCTCCTTCTTTCCCAATAATGGCTCCTACAAACTGCGTGGGAACCAGCATCCGTAGAGGAACGTCTGACTGTGGTTTCTGCCTTGTGGTTGCGCCAGGTGACCCTTGCCTAGGAGGACCCCTCTGTCCAAATCCACGTCTTCCCTGGGGATGTTGTTGCGGAGGTTGCTGGGCTGCCATTTCATCAGGGATGTATGCAACTTTCAAGGAATAGTTTTCAAGCTGAAACCCGTTCAGTTTTTCTATTGCTCTGTTTATTTGCAAAGGGGAGGAGAGAGGAGATTAAAAAAAAACCACAATCACATGCAGGGCCTTATGAAATGACAAGTCATTCAGACACCGACTTTTGGTCTTTATAAACTGCATGGTAAAGCTAAAAACTGGTTCTACAGTGAAGAGTTACATTTTAAATTCTTCAGCCAAGATTTTGATTACACAAAGTCACAATATTAAGAACTACAAGTTAGTTCTTGCTTGCTCTGGGCTTCTGTGCACTTTATAGGTTTTGCTGGTCCAACTCTATCAGCAAAACCTCACAGGAAACAGAGCTTATACACTCAAAAGCATTCTTTTGCCCGATTTAATTTAAATCAATTTCCCAAATAGAATTAAAGTTGCACCAGAGGGAAAACTTTTTAGTTGCTATCACGGCACCTTCATTAGGGTTTTTGCCAGCATAGCTATTTGGCTGTAGTTTTTGCAATAAATGATATAGCTGTGACAGGAAAGAAAATAAAATATGAAAGAAGACAGTACCTAGTTCATTCTCAGCAGGAAAGGAAACAAATTCAAATGCTTCTCAATGGCATCTGAAATACCACTTAGCAGATTACAATAGCAAAGTGCAACTTACCAACTAGTCATGTTGTAAGTAAAGGTAATTTTTAAACTAGGAAATTAAAGCCCACACATGTTAAACTCTCAAGAGATGCAAAGTTGTTAGAAGGCATTTCAATGGTGCTTCAATTTCTCTTTTAATTAGACATTACAGAGGGATACTGCCCAAATATACACAGCCCACTCCCACCATGGGGGGGTCCATCACACTGAATAACCTTTTGGTTGCTCAGCATTCCCCCTCTGCTCAGTCCCTCTTTCTAACCAAGGTGGGGGCAAGCCAGCCAGCCTGACTTGCTGGTGGTCTTCCTTTTACAGGGGAAACACAAGTCAACCTAAAAACTTATTCTGTCAACTAAAGATCCAGCCAATAGTAGGAATAACTAAGCTACACACAACACCCTGGTGAACTAGTGGCATAAAACTGACACACTTGCCCAAGACAGACATTTCAAATTTTGCTTTGAAAGGCATTATTATTGTTCAGATTATCTGTGATATATTGATCACTGAAATATGCATTGATTTGGAGAAGTTTAAAAATGCCAGGCTTAATCTTGGACCAATGATTACCAGAAGATTTTCTTTAAGGACAAAATTTAAACTAAAAGCAGTAGTGGGAAGTAAGGGGTTTCCATCTGATATTAAAGAAAAGTTCCAAACAACATATGAGCAAGGCCTGTGACATTCGGAAACTTAACCCAGTCCCTCCATTCACACATCTGCAGGAGCTTACTGCCAGTTTACCAAACACTCAGTCTTTGCAATACTTTTACTCCTGCCTCTACTACAGAGATGAAGCATGGTGCTAGCTAATCACCGGCATTTTCAGTAGCCAGTGAAAAATACTATTAGTTTCCTGTCCCATTTGATAGCTGGGTCTCTAGCAGCTGTTGAAGCCAAGCAGCAGCTTCAGAGGTAAGTGGTGTTTGGGTACTGAGGATAACTTGCCCTTGTCTCTCTGGAGTTGAAACAGCATCCTCAAAATACTCCAGTCGGACAGTAAAGAGCTTACGTGAAAACAAGTAATTTGTGTCTCTGGAATGGTGTTTAATAAGGGCTGGTAATAAATAAGGCTCAAGGCAATGCCAATGAACAAAGAAAGCAAAATATTGAATAACTGATCACTGCTCATTAAATACTTGTGCTAACCAAATGAAACATAGGTCCTCTGGGAACTGAGCAGGAGAGTAATTACTCCCCTAACAGAAGAATCCCTTACAGCATATGGCAAATGAGCTGGATTCAAATTTGGTAAGGCTATTTCAGAGCTGACAATTCTTAACTTTTACTCCCATGGACTTTGAAGAACATTTTATTACACAATAAAACACGTTTACAAAACAGTAAGGGCAGTGAGCAGACTAGTGAAACTGGTGTTTCTCTGGATTTATCTCTCAGTTTTTAGTTTCTGGATAAATTTCCAATGCCTGAAAGGCATTTCACTGAAGTTCCTCTCTATGGACATCCTATCTGGGAAAGGGGTCTGGAACCTTTTCTTTTCGTGCAAACATGAACATATTAAGTTCTTGTTTGCAAATATCTGAGACCTTTACTTCTGGGTTGAGTTTTACTGAAATCAACTAGAAAGGTGAATTGCTACCAGGGAGGGGAACAGCACTGCCAGACAGTGCAGTTGCACAAGCCCTGTTTCTTTTGGAGTCAAACCTCAAGATGCTGGAGACATGAATACCAACAATTCTGCAAATGTGCTGGTAGGCTCCAATTTGACGTCCATCCCAACTCACTGTCTTCCACACTTTCATCTGACAAGTTCAGACACTGCTTCTTTCCCAAAATGCGTCAGTCTTCTCTGGCTTTAAAACATCTTTGACCAGAATCCCAGTATTAATACAAAACCTTACATTAAATCAGTGCACAAGACTTCTCACTGCTCCTCAGAAGTGGTATGGAAAGAAAAGACTAGGCTTTCTGTTTGCAACCAAGCTACGTACCTATCATGTTTTCACAACAAACACTTTATAGCAACAACTAGTGCATATATATGTGTATGTATATCTATACATACATTTCTATATGCACCATCCTTTTCCTGGAAAGAATGTCGGAATTTTTCTACTTAATAACAATTTATAAATTGCTAAATGGTTCCATATGACTATAAGTACCTTAAATTCAATGCAAACTGAGAAAAGTTCATTTGCCATTGTGGAAAATCAATTATGTCATCAGTGAACAATCCCTGGCCACCAAAGTCATATGATGACATGGAAAAATAACACACTAATTCACCCTGTGAGTCACAGAGTTCTCCATATTTTATAGGCTGACTTATTTTATAATTTGACTTGTTCAAGTGATGAGAAGTCAGAGGAGTCAGTAATTAAATGCTGCTCTCCCAAGCCTTTTGCGGAACAGACATTTTCTGGGTTGGTGGTCCCGTATTCTGCACTGATTTGGGCACACACAGTGGAATGCCAAGGTAACTGATTTTCAGTGGATGCACCACATACACAGTTCTGGTGCATTTCTTACGTAAGACACAACCCCAGTTTTTGAAAGGTCCCTTTGGCTGTTAAGTCTGGCCTTAACATTCCGAATTTGACAATCTGCACTAGGTTTTTAAAATATTGTCATACATCTTTCTTTAGCTGTTCTGAATTAATTTTTATCAATTTTGTGGTACAAAACTTAGGGTTGGAATTAGGCAATGTGATGACTCAGCAGCCATTCAGCACCATAACAAACTCAATTTTAGAGGCATCTAGGCACTGCTTCGGGGGTTGAGGAGAAAGATGTGGAAGAAAAACCATGAAGAGACACAAGTGACTAAGAACTATCTTCTAGATGGATGCAGAATTCCTGTGAAACAGCATCTAGGACAGCACTTGCTATCAGGAGTCATCCCTGCTCCCTGGGAAAGTCTGAGCCTCAGATAAAAGCAAGCGAATGGTTCTTCACAGCACTAGAGCCATCTGTTTCAGTCAAAGCTATCATCACTGCTGCAGTCCACCAAATACACTTTAAATCAAGCTCCTCTTGTGAAGCACACACTCGTGTTGACTGACCACCTTGGAAACTCAAATCCAAGCCACAGCAACACCACCTCTGCCTTCCTACAAAGGCTCTGCTCTCCCAAACAGGTTGGGAGGGAAGGGGGGGAAAATCTCCTTCCATGACCACAAGTTAATAAAGGTCAAGCAGATTACCTCTGTCAGAGAGCACTGCTGGTACCTACTGAAACGAACCACAAACCATCTTTTACACAAAGGCTAAAAGCCTTAGTCACTTAATGAGGACAAAGATAGAGAAAAATTCAGTAAACTGCCTCATTAAGAAGTGTCCTCCTGCCCCAAATCATCTTTAAAAATTCCTATTTAGTAGAAGTAGAAAACGTTTCCATTTCATATACCAGCAAGACCCAGTACACAGACACCTCTTAGTGTAGTTCAGAATTTTTTAATAAAACAAATTCATTAAGAGACTGCAATGACTACTGCCTATGCACCAATAAGATGTATAGCAGCCTGGCTTATGTTCATGTAACACCTGCTCAGAAGCAAGAGAATACCTATATAAAAAGGAAAGCTTTAAACAAACATTTTGTAAATTCATTACCAAAGTTCTTCCCATCTAAGTTACATCTCACTGCTGTCCTCTCGTGAGCTCCCTAACAGAGGATATTTGCCCAGCCTTCTCCCTTCTGATGCTAGTGGAGGTTAAACATCCTCGAAAATTATTACAGTGAAAGCACTGAGTCTTTTGCTGGAAATCATTCTTCCACTGATAGCATGATGACACTAAGCACTAGATGGAGAACATATTTCACTCCCACATGCAGCTTGTACATACACCACTTCTCTTTTTTCTTCCCTGAACAGATACATTTGCATACAAGAAGATGGATATACATGGCAAATTTTCTTTGACACGATAATTTTTTTTACATTAAGTAAAAATACAGTTTTCATTAGTACTTCTGAAAACAAAAACAAAGAAAAAACAAATCTAAGCTTATAATCATACACTGCTGAATTTTCACTATAATCGTTCCTATGGCAACATTAGCCCTGACCCACAACGGCATGTAGAAGTATTAGTTATGTGAACTCTCATTCATTCATCAAGGATGCATGTGTGCACACACAGGCATGCAGACAGACTTGTCCTTCACTGAAGGGGTAAAAAAAAAAATTCTTTGTCAAGTATTCTAATTAAGAGGTGACCACTAGCGGACTTTAAAAATCCCAGGTAGATCACGTACTAGACACCTACACTGGAACATTTTGGGGAGCAAAAGAGAAGGTGGTGTAACTTTTGAAGGTAACAGGCATAATTTAGGTGGCAGCATGTCACAAGGACACAGTCAGCGTGTCCTGCTGGTTGCAGCCAGGGACCGATATTGGGAGAAGGAGAGGTGTCTTTTGGCAAGCATATCCCAAGCTGCCACAGCACCGGCAGTTGGGTTGTTCAGAATGAATCACAGGCTACAGGTTCTGTTGCTCACCCTCTCCTCTCTTCCAAATATTCCACAACCCACCACGATGTTCACAACTGCATTGCCACAGCAGCGTGCACATGCTTTGTAAGGCCCTCTCCAGTTTCTGAAAAGGACAGCAGCAGGGGCAGTTTGTGAGATGGAACAAATTCCTCCTCCTCCCAAGTAGTTGCAGGAGAGGAGGGTAGGGATGTGGTCACAGAGATACCCTGGTATTTCCAGCCTTCTCCTTGCTACCCACAATCCTGGAGAGCGAAGGGTGGTTTTCCAAGGCCCACATGTGGCTCTGTGCTTGCTGTACACTCCTCCACAATGCTACCAGGCTCTCCAAAAGCACCTGATTTGCCATGTTGGCTCCCCTGCTCTGGCCACATAGTCAAGGAACAGCATCCTGCTTTTACTGACAAGACAGCCTCCTGCCTCTTCAGCTAGGAAAGAGCTGCCACTACACAGGTCAAAGACACAGACCGCTGTCCCAACTGGAAGCCAGTAACTGTGCACATCTCAGATTTTGGGTGCTGTGTGCTCTAAGACTTCTTTCTCAAAAAGACTGCAGCATTCTTTGATGATTTCAGCTTCCAAGTTAATTTTGAATGCAGCCCTGTATTAAACATGCTGCAACGGCAGTACCAGCCTAGAGGAAAAAACCTCTGTCACAACAACTTAGACTGCAAGATAGAAGAATTCTCACTTTCCCAGCTGGGTGGAACCAAAAGTTTTGTTCAAAAGTATCATCCTCCAAGCAATGCATACCACACTTGTTTAGAACTGCTTATCAAAAGTATCTCTAGGTTTTGTTACAGCACCTTCATTGCACAGTACTGCTGGTACACACCAGTAGGCATGGCAATGCCATACAGCTATCCAGAGGGGACGTAGCCAACTCTGCATGTTTTGTCAGCCAACACTCTGTGAGGTTAGTACATGCACTGCAAAAAGTGCAGAAAAGGTGCATTTAGAACTAGGGACCCACTATATGTGTTAGCACAGAAATCTTCAAGTCATGGTGTTTGATCCAAAACTCATGGCAAAGAGCCTCATTTTCCCTAACCAGTTAAATTTCAAACTACAAAGCTTGTTAGCAGCTGCTGACTCCTGACAACTCTAAATAGCTTTTGATAAAGTCAGTTCCTGTTACTGCACGTGCTTCATAGGATGACCAGCACTGCCTTTATCAGCTATCGGCACTTGTACACTGCTCCCTCTCCAGTGCCACTGCTGTTCACCACAGCCAGTTCACATCTGGGAAAACCATTTAACTGAAACAGCATCACAGTCACTATGGAAAAGCCATGCACGTACAGGTCCTGTAATGACCCTTCATTGCAATTTCTCACAGTTTTTTCCATACCTCAATCTAGCCACTTCTCCTACAGATTTCCACATGGTTGCAAGGTCACCTCCTGAACAGAGACAATCTGAGCTAACATTTTTTTGAACAGAATGTAGACTCATCCACTTAGAAACCCATATATCCCTATTAAACCACTCACAAATGCAAATCAAGGTTCCTCTGCTCGCCCTACCTGTTCAAGGGAACCAAACTGGGTCAACATTCAACCTGTATTGCTTCAGGTCCCATGCAACATTCACACTGGATACCAATTCACCTGCTTCGAACTCAAGATGTTTCCAGTCATTGTCACGTGATTTCTTATGCAAAACAAAATTTTATCTTGGATATTTCCTTTCCAGTCTTTGCTTATCCCAGCATTTCCTCAGGATTGCTTTTAAAATTTAGCAAGTACAGTTTGAAAGGGGAGAAACTGCACGTTGCTTTTTCAGCTTCAGAAGGGAGTGCACAAGCCCGGGAATCCACATCACAGACAACAGACAGCTCAAAAAAAAATCATGCTTCTTTCCAGGATATTTTTGGTACTTCCTTCTGCAGAGGAGGAACTGGCCTATGTAATACTAATCTGTAACATTTCATGGTAAGTTTCTTCAGAACTAGAAATTCAGCCTTTTTATTAATGACTGGGCAATAGAAGAACCTGAAGAACTTGTTGAACAATTCAGATTTTGAGAAAAGTTAAAGAGGGAATTCAAGGAAAACATTGTTTCCTTCAGCTCCAGTGCACACAGGAGATACCACTGACACAAGTTTCCCATCACATTTGTTTATAATGTACTAACAAGTAACCTAACACTTTGAAAGATTAAATACATGTGTTGCATTCAAGTTACGCACAGATCATAATTACTTAATTATATGTACAAATATTATTTCATTTGTAATTTTGAATTAATGCATACCATAAGCGCACTCTGCATTTTAACTGCTGGTTTTAGTTAGCCACAAGGTGGCAGAAATTTCAAAGTTAAAATAAAAAGATCATTGTAGGCTATTCCATGGGTTCGGTTTTGTTTCACCTACTATGACTAAAAAGGGGGAAGTATGCTTATGTCACCAGATTAAAACTTTAAGAACACACAAATCCTTTTTCTGTATGTGGGTAGAAAAGCAAAATTAAACCTATAGCACAATGTATAATATAAATTTTTAAAGTATTTACAACCACTGATTAAGAAAGTAAAACATTATATTTTAAAATTTTAATATATAGATTAAAAGTTATCAACTACTGAAGATATAAGCAAGCATAAAATGTGGCCTGAATTTCAAAAATACCATAAAAGTTATTTTAGGTATTCAGATTATACTTTTTTGTGTGCTTGAAAGCAGCATTAAATTTTCTAATCTTAAAAAAAAAACAACACCTGTCTGTCTTCTGGTTAGTAGCTGCATTCTTCTATTTTTTCCCTGTTATTTTGCTATGATTGTCCATTAAGAAACAGACACAAAAGAATGAACACTGTAAAAGGGTATCGCTAAAACATGGCTAAAAATCATTAAACAGTAACTCCTCTGTCACTGGCAAATTACTAACCTTCTGCCCTCGGCATTCAAATAAGTTTGCTCGATTTTTCCGTTTCTTGAAATTTAAAATTCATTTTTTATCAAAGCGCAAGAAAAGTTGATGATAAAAATAGTTAATGAAGGTAAAGCACACTACACTTGGTGGTGCAGGGAAAACAGACTTTCTTAAAAGTCAATGCTTAACTTATTGTTAAAGTGATGATGTAATTCGAAACAAAGTTGCATATGAATTCCAAAGTGCAAGTCAGATGACAGTAACAACTAAGTAAGATACTTACTGTCTAGCCTGGTCCTTATTGCCGTACGTTACATTTACAACTGCAGTCTCCGTGTCAGTGTTCACTAGAAAGGAAAATGCAATGGAAACAAGTTAAGTTCAATGTGCACTCACTTCCCACTACAAATTTGAAAGCAACTTGAGAGTAGAGCTGTACCTTGCTCACAGTTCTCCACTGTTCCATACTGAGCTAACAAACTGTCCAGCACCTATAAGAGGCAAAAGAAATGACAGATTTAAATTTCAAAGCAGACTAACAAAATAAGAGGCCTGTAAAAACACTAAAATTTGTAAAATAGTTGTATGAGAACATAGATCATTCAAGACAGCCACTCCAACAAGGAAGAAATGCTAACTGTTCTGGGAAAAACAAGCATACATTGTTTGTATGCTTTTTCTCCTAACAGAAAATCTGCATTTGGAACCTCATTAATGTGAAAATACAGAACATAACTCCAAGAAGTCACACTGAACTGTACCTCCCAAACTTTGAAAATAAACCTCCAAGTTCACCAGTTCTCAAAGTGGGCTAAAGCATAAACAGAAAGAATTAAGAGAAGAGCAAATCTGGGGTGAAACTTTCTCCATGTATTCCAAGAACACATATCTACTTTTGTCACTGTTTGGAGTTGTTGGGTTCTTGCCTCACAACACCCTTAGATAATACATAAAAATGTTGTTTTCTTTCTTAGTGGGGTATTGCCTAAATAGACAAGGTAACCAGAATAACCAGCACACCGAGAGCTGTTTCACAATTATTTTGACAGCTTTCCCATAGATCCATTCCAGAGGAACGACTCATAACAGTATCTTCACCATTATTTTAAAGTCACAACTAATTTTTCCCTCAGCAGAAAGCTAGGGAGAAACAGGTAAATGTGTATGACAAGGAGCAAAAGAAATCTGCATGAAGTACTTTTATCTTGTATAATTTCCTTTATTCTAGTCAAATGGAGGATGGAGAAGGCGGAAGAACACAGACTTCTGGGGAAAATCAAGGTGTCAGAGTATTCCAGTAAAAGCATTAAAACACTCACAGTTGTACTGCTTCTAAAATTCATATGGTATATATTTTATTTTCTTCCTGGTGAGAAATAATGTTGCAGAAAACAGTGACTGTGGCAGTAACTAGCACAGGACACAAGTACATCATTGTGGTGTGCTGAGTCCTAATGTTTTGTATCGGAAATTAAACTGATTCTGGAGAAGCTCATCATTTACACCAAGAAGTGAAAAAGTAAACTTGCAATCTCTTCTCTGACCAAAGTGTCATTCTCCAGCTAGTCTCTAAAGCCAAAATGTCAGTAGGAAAGGGAAGAAACCCCTTCAGGAATGGGAGGAAACAAGGAAGCAAGGACAGATGGAAAACAGTTAACGAAGTTTCTGTGCAGCTTCCCATTCCACTACACTTCCCTTCGCTATATCTAGCAACTGAGTGTGCACAAATCCCCAGCCCTTAAAAATGTAAAATTTAGTCTACGCCCTCACTAGATTAAAAATCCCAGTTTATGATCTATCAATGCACCCTATACTTTGCATGGTATATGTAAGAGACATTTTTAAGATAAGTTTGGGCATATAAACTGCAATTTAAAGACAACTTATATCAGTATAATTTCTACTCTTTACCACCTACTAACATTTAAACTGCACACAGACATTTCAAAGGTAACATTTCAGAACAGATATTTAAAGGCAATGTGGTGCTCACCAAGTTTAAGCAATGCATTACTGCTTCTAACTGCAGAATTTCCCCATCCTTCTTGTAGAGACTCTAGTAAAGTTTTCTTGGCAACTGTTTTGTTTTCATAGACAAGTTGTTAATTGTCCTCTCCTTCTACAAGTAGAGATTAGCCTAGTCTGAGAGTCTGTCTTTTCAGTTCCCTGAAAAATAATTTTTCTGCCACTCCTCAGTTCTGACAATTGGAAACTAAGTGAATGTTTGCTCTGAAATTCACTACATATTACTGAAGCAGAGATGCTCCAGGGGATTAAAATAAATTAAAAGTCTGTGGAAGATCCTTTTAAGACAATTAAAATGTTGGCACAGATGAGTGGGAGAGTTGTGCGGTCTTGCAGGTCTGCAGCTGTACCTGCACACAAGCCAGGAGAGCCACCACATGCGATTAGAGGAAAGCCTTCTTCCACAGACAGCTTAAGTGATCCACTGAAATCAGGAGGTGAACAGAATCTCAGGTGGGGTCAGGGGTTTAAAACAAGAAAAGCAGAGCAAGTCCCTGGCTTAGAGATCCATTCTGAGAAGTGTAGTTGAAATAGGACACTGAAGAGTTCATTAGTCTGATAAAGCATTTCCTTTGTCCCTACAGTATGCCATTTGGCGAAATAAACACTTGAAGAAAAGTACAAAAATCAGTGTTTACAGAGCCATTGTGCTGTCTTACTCTCTTATACAGATCTGAACCATGGGTCATTTACCACCACCACCTGTGTCTCCTAGAACACTTCCATCAACGTTGTCTCCGTTCAATCCTAAACATCCACTGGTCAGATTATGTGACCAATACATCTGTTCTAGAACAAGCAGCTGTCACAAGTATTGAGGCCATGTTGCTGAGAACTCAGCTGTGCTGGGCAGGGCACATCTCAAGGATGAAGGACCACCACCTCCCTAAGATCTTGCTTTATGGTGAACTTGCCACTGGCTGCCGCATGAGAGGAGCCCCGAAGAAAAGACACAAGGACTCCCTGAAACAACATCTCAGCCTTGGCCATACTGATCAACATAACTGGTCTACTCTGGCCTCCAATTGGGAGGTCTAGAGACACAATATCTTTAACGCTGCTGATGCCTTTGAGAAAGCACACAGGATCACTCTCGAGGAGAAAAGACAACACAGAAAGAATTGTGCCTTGCAGAATATACCACCTAAGGAGTCTTTCTGCTGTGCCTTTTGCAACCGGACGTGCCTGTCTCGTATTGGCCTTTTTAGCCACCAGCACACTTGTAACAAACGTGGGTAGAGCCCTTCCCAAATCTTCCTTCACGAGGCCTGGCCATGATGATGATGACAATATGCCAACACTCATGTCGTACTACACAGCAAGCGTACTACAGCGTAAGCTAAAATCTTTAGTTATTACTATGTCTGAACTGTGCTAACCACCAGCTCATGCCCACTCTGCCCCAAAGTTGCATCACTTCAAAACAACAGAATTTCTTTATCATCCTTAATCATACAGGAAAAGACCAAGCTAGAATGCCAGAAGTTTCATGAGTTTGCTGGATAATAATTGATATTTTGTAAGGTAGTTCTATACTTAAAGTCACCAGCTTCACCAAGAAAAGAAATACTTTAAAGCTGAATTCACACAACTTTTCAAAGATACTACATTTTCTTGAGAACTACTTTCAGCATGTTTCTGATCAGCCATCAGAAACATCTCAACACACTATCCTTGCATCTGCTCCAAGAAGCCTGAGAACTAAAAGGTTCCTTCTCTGTTACTGCTGAGGAGCAGCCCAGGATGACACATTCAGCATCCCACTCCTCTTCACAAGGAGTTCTCCACTTATGCTATTCCTTAATCCTCTTCTGAGTCATTTCAGTCAGAGACAGTGTCCATCTGGGCTTTAATCCAAGTGATTTGAGTTCCCATGTTCTTAGAAGAGTTGCTTTACCAAACAGATTTATGAAGAGTTTCCTCAAAGGATTGAAGCTTGCTTTAACAGAAATGAGAAACAATCCTCTTCAGTCAAAGACACTTGCTCTCCACAGCACTGTTCTCAGTAGAAACTTGAATTTTCATCACTATCAGCCTCATGCAGCAAGACTTAAAGCATGATAAACACCACAGGGGTGTTTTAATTAGATTGTAGTTAAAATGCACTAGTAGGAAAGTTTCTGCAGCAGTTGAGGTATATGTGTCCATGTGTAAGAAGCAAACTTCATGGGTGAGAACACTTTTAACTGAACCAGCTGATCCAGATGGGAAAAGTCATTGCAGCTGTATTCAAAGCTAGATCCTCTATGGTAATTCACTTTCAAAACACAGAACTCAATTCCTGCATGTCTTTCTTGCTTCATATGTATTTACTGCAACAGTTAGTTCCTATACACATCTTTCATTTCTTCATGTGTCTTTCTCGCTATCTTTTCTCTCTCCCCAAATTTTTCTCCCTAGCCCAAAGCCTCTATTTCTGCTGCAAAACAAACATGTTTTGTTTAAGCTGCTCTTCCGTAACACTCTCCGTGTACAGCCTTGTTGGGCAATCAGAACAAAATTCAAAGCCAAGTTGGTGGTGCAGCAGCAATTCTGATGAGCAGCTGAAAAGTTTATTTGTACAAATATTTAATCTAAGCTAGAAAAAAAAAAAAAAGTCTTTCCTTTTCTTCAGCTCTCCTTCTCGCAGTTGTCTAAATTGGGTCTCCTGCTCTTGTTATAGCACAGATGTCTCTCTCACAAAAAGCTGCAGTCTTATACTGTGGACTTTCATTCATCAGGCTCTAAAAGCCAATTCTGACTTCATTATAAACAGCATTACCCTACACCAAGACCCACAAATCGAGGCTGCTTTACATGGAAAAAAGAAAGAAGGAAACATCACTTTTCAGTAAAGCCAAGAGCTTGATGCACACATTAAAATATCCCTGTTCTCATACAAAATTTCACAGATTTAGAAGTAGCACCTCTGAACAAATCAGAGCAGTTGTTTTCTGCACTTTCAGAACAGACTATTTCATACACATCGCTTTACAGTGCTATAGGATTTCTGCTGTATGCCATAAGCAAATTAGTCTCAAGATATCAGGTCCGCAAGCACAGTTATCCATATTGTTTCTCTCTCACACACACACTTCGCAACAGGAACTTCACAGTGGTGCTGTAGAACCTGAAGTTATTTTCTCCACTCATGTAGAGCAAATACATTAGACCACCACCCTTGTTTCCATGACTTTTGTGCCACATTGACTGGGAGTTAAAATTAGTCAACACGACTGAAATCATAAATAGCAGAGGCAAAAAGAGACAGGAGGATTAGGGTCATTCAGTAAAAAAGGACATGGAAATATTTGCCTGCAAAGACTTTGAGTGTACTGTGTGAATTAACAAAAACAAACAAAAAACCAAACCAAACCAAAAAAAGGCAGGTATCAGGCAACAATATGAGGAAAGAGTAGTTGCGTGTACACATGGCTATTGATTTAACAGAGGAGAGGTGGGGGTGAAAGAAAACAAAAGA